GCAGAAACTGACACGAGCATACGGCCTTCAAAGACTAGCGGAGTACGTCAATGAGGTTGCTCGGGACAGTGCGCGGCCATGGTCAGCTCAGCACGCAAAATCGAGGTATAGAATCCGTATATATATTCATAATCATTAAAACTATCAATCGACAAGTAGATATGACGCATATGTTGCATCGTACCGACGAGCTCTCAAATGGTCTGGGCCAAGCAACAGCGGTCGTGGCCTGACTGACTTGGAAACGTTACATGTTATCAACGATCAATTATCAAATATCTCACTCTTCGGTAGAAATCTTTACAATTGAAAGTAATTTGGAGAGCATTTGCCCGTACTACAACGACATGGACGCTCTGTTTTGGGGGCGACAAAATTTTCGTCCATCTTACATTTTTGAGACTAGTCTTCGCGGTAAATATATACATCTCAAATATATATATGTCTGTATATATAGCTATTTCGATGGAACAATTTAGATGCAAATGATATGAGCAAACAATGCGACGAGTCGTTTCTTTCTGATGCCATTGGCAGCGACGACGACCTCGATGACCACGACTACTCCAAGGACCAACGTGACTCAACAACATCGGGCAATCCCAACGACGACCCCGACGTTGACGAGTACTGGGCAGAGAACGATGCTGCCGATCCTGGGCGGCAAGCCGACGCCCTACTTGACAACGAAGTTGCAACACGTCACACAGGCAAGGGCAAGGGAAAATCCAAAGTCGTCCCACGCAAGTTCCCAATGCCGGAGAAGCGCCTGCCCCCTCGAAAGGGCTTCTCGTACATGTATATGGCTGCGCAGAATGAAACGACTCAGCTGAACGTGAGAAGTTCGAATCATGAAAGAAAACAACAAGAGCATTCAAGCTGCAGCCGCCATCATAAATTTGCAACGTGCCAAGGCGTCCTTCATCGAAAAAATAGTAGCGTCAGGTGTAGTGGACGCAGAAAAAATCCGCGAATTATTGTCGATTGCGTTTGCGCAAGAATAAAGAATTTTCAATGAACAATATTCGTGCTGATAATATTATTCTCCAAACCTAAGTAGTTGAGTAATTCGGACTTGATGGTTTCGCGCCACATGAGGGAACTTGCAGCAATTGGAGTATTGCTTACTACCACTGGTCGAGGCTTTTCAACAAACGGTGGCACTGTGTCTTCACCGTTGCGAAGTCGGTTTACAACGTTGTGGAGGATACAGCAGGCCAAGATCCAATCGCAAACGTCTTTCACATCACTTCGCTGCCTATCAGAGCAAAATATAAAAATATTTAATAATATAGACTGAAAAATACATGACAAATATATATAATACCTGATACAAATAGGACGTTGCGACAAGCATGACCAGCGCCCTTTCAAGATCCCGTTGCCGTGTACGCAGACCACCCGCATACTCGCATGACCGGTGTTGAAAGCGTCGTTGCCGCTGGCGCTTGAGTAGGCAACGGATACGGCGTCAGCATGCGCATGACGAGGGCAAATCCTGAATCGCCCGCTTGGTATTGGTTGGCGTAAAAAAACCCGTCCGGACGCAGGGCCGGCGATGATGATGCCCACATAGTTGAGTCGTGAACGCTGCCCGGCCAGCCAGCGATGACGTGTCGAATTTGGCGTTTGTAATCAAACGTTAATAGAACATTCATGGAGTATTCCTTCTTTCGACTGTAATATACCTCGCCATTCAAAGCTGGTTTTCGGTACCAAACAATATGTGTGCCATCAGTTGATAAAATACAGTTACGAAATCCATATCGTTCTGCATTATAACTGGCAAGTTGACCACGCTCACAATGATTAGGCCAATTGATCTCGAAATGGGATAATGACACGAAAGCATGAATAACACGTTTAGTGTAAAGATGAACAGTTCCAATCCCAATTCCTTGTGCTCGTGACACCATCCCTGCGGACGAGCCAGTGTCATTATGGCCGATGCGGTGCAGTGCGCAGGCAAGCTGCACCCATATCGGTCGTTGAGCTATATTGCTCGTCGGTTGAAAGATGGGGTTCAGTTCAATCAACTGAACAATATATGCAAATGTGCTCTGACATACACGGACCTCTTGTGCAAAGTCTCCAACAGCCATAAATGATAGAATGGATAGTTGCTCTAAAGATCGAGGGAGCGAAGCACGGGAGAACATATAACGTGAACAAAGTATCATGTATCGAAGTCGTAGAAATTCATCAATGTCCTTCGATGCAGAGGGGCTGCAGGTAGCAAGAGTTCGTACCATCCTATCCAAGTCGACAAGGACTGCTGCTCTCTCTGAGAGCTGTGGCATTTTCGACAATGAAGTGATCTATGCGGATACGGATAGCGGTTGCGGCTGAATCATTGGCCTACCGTATACATTATGGATTTGTACCCCCGAAAATGTCAGTAAAATCTGATCGAAATGGATACAACTCAATAAGGTGGTCTGATTTATTTCCAATGCGTTCGGATTGGTTACTTCTACTACTTCGACTTGTTTAACTAGCTAGAACGAGCAAATTGGACAGTTTTGACCAACATAAAGCGACTCGGGTACAGCCTTCCAAGGTACCACCAAATCGTACTTTATTGACACCATACAGAAATTTGGGTACAACTCGATAAGGCAAACTTATGGGTACTGATCCATAAGGTATACGGTATATTGACTCTCCTTTGCTTTTCATTCAACAATAATAAAATACACAAAAGAATATAAATTTGCTTTTCAAAAGTGGTCGAAAAGCAAAAGCAAATCGAAAAATCCTATATTGACTCTCCCTACTGTGTCTCCTCGTGATTTTTATATACTACCTCCGATTGGAAATGATTGAGAGGTTTACCAGTTACGTACAATTATTATTATGTTATACAGGTATTGTCATATTTGCTGTACCACATATCGCCATCTAAACCTCTATAACTAGATAAGTTCAGGTGAAATCAGATATAGGTGTACAGACATTATACTGAAGCACAGTGAAAATTGAGCATCATTCCTGATTGATTCTGACCATAACTTTTAAGATAACGTGATCGATCAGTGATGGGCCGATTTCTTTTGTCCAAAAGTGTTATAAATAAATTCTGATTGGATGAAATAGAAACTCTTAATGCGAATAACCTTGTAAAACAGAATGGTGGGAAAAGAATTATATTTCAAAGGTTTACTCATTTGAATTTCAAGAAAATGCCGCCAAGAA